CTCCTTAATAGCAAGAGTTTCCTGCACTGATTTCTTCACTTCAACACTAGTTCACAGTCCTCCATGGACAGGTGCTGATGGACAGCGCCAAGGTCCAACCTAGGCCCAGATGTAGCAGGCAAAGCCTCCTAGTGGTGGCAATGGTGACAAATGGCGCTTCTCCAGGTGCTCTAGAAGACAGCAGCTCTCATGAACCATACAGCTTTCGGCCCACTCCACACACCAGAGTCTGAGGCTGCCTTCTAGCTCTCTGCTCAGGCTTCTTCCCATAGGCAAGTCTCTGGACCCCTGCTCCGAGGGAAAGAAAAATATATGGGCAGGTCTAGATCTTGCAGCCGAGTTCACTTTCATTCAAGGAGCCACTCAGTTTGCCTCCACCTGCCTGCTTGGTTGATATGAGGAGAAATAACCTATATGCATAGTGTTCAGCAATCAACGATGTCGTAATAATCAAGCCCCCCTTGCTTCTCTTAGGTTGTACGTTCCTTGCCCTGAAATGAAGCACCTGTGGGGTACAGCGATCTTCCTGGTGATGTTAAGCAATTGTAATATTGTGCATCCAGACACATTTACATAGATTAAGGTCAGGTGTGACCCGCAGAGACCACTGATCCTACAGATCAATCAAAGGCTTGCTGTTTTCATTCTCAGAGGAATTTTTCTTGCTTATCTTTATTTATTCATTGTGGTGGTACTGGGGTTTGAACTCAGGGCCTTATGTTTACTGGGCAGGTGCTCTACCACTTGAGTCATGCCTCTAGCCCTTTTTTGCATTAGGTAATTTTCATACAAGGTCTCAAGGTTTTGGCCAGGGCTAGCTTCAGACCAAGATCCTCCTGCTTCCAGCAACCCAGTAGCTGGGATCACTGGCCTGTGCCACCACGCCTGGCAATACTGGGGTTTGAACTCAGGGCCTGGTGCTTGCTGTGTGGACACTCCACCACTCATGCCACATCATGAAGCCCATGCCAGGCTTACTGCATGACATGGAGTCTTACTAATTTTTTCCCCAGGCTGACCTGGAATCATGGTCCTTCAATCTCCGCCCTCCGAAGTAGCTGGGGTGACAGGTGTGAGCTACCAGCGCCCACTTTCTTATGCTTCTTTTATGCTGTTTATAATGGCGCTATAGTTTGGATCTGGAATGTCCCCGAAGTGTTAAAGGCCTGGCCCAGCTTGATGTGGTTGGGAGGTGGTAGAAACTTTAAGAGGTGGAGCCTAGTCAGAAGTAAGTTATGTCACTGAGGGTGTGCCCTTGAAGGGGATATGGGTGAAGTAGAAATAGGGACCACCTGTTACTGGTGGATGCAGTGTATCATGGTTCTTGGGGTGCAAGGTGTAAGATGAGGCCCAGGCAAGCCAATAGCAAGGAGTGATTTACTAGTAAATGAAGAGTACAACTCAGAGTGCTGAGGAGGGCAGTGGGATAAGGACTGACTGCCTCAAAGTTGTCAGGTTTGGGGTCTTTATTATCCAATAGGGTGGGTTACCAGGTGGTGAAATGCTCAGTGGCTACCCAGGTGTGGGAAGTCATACACCTGTGCTGTTGAGAAGGCGAGGGAAGGCACCTGCACGTTTGATCCTTTGTGCCTTTCTGAGTTTAGTGCCGACCCCCAGTGGAAGGTCATATAGAGGTCAGTACACCCCTCAAGGCCCATGTATGACCTTCCTATGAGTAGGGTGCTAGATAAGGAGGATATAGGGACATTATCTTAATTATTGGTTCAGCTGTGCACCATGTGGGGTTTTCCCACTCTGCCTCTAAGAAAGGAGACTGAAACCTGTAGCCATGGGCATATCCTCATTCCTGCTCAGGTCTCCCTAGCTGCATGCCTTAACAGACCTGCACGGGATAAGAGATGGACAGGTTCCCACGCCCTTAATCCATAACCTGCTACCCACCAAGATTCTCTCTCCTCCCTTGTTGACAACGTATGGAACGTGCCCTCTGGTCTTTCTACTCTTCTCACGAGGACAAACCTACTTTGCAGGGGCAGAATGACACCACAATGTCCCCAAAAATGAACTGACCATCAATACGTATTTTCAATGTGAAAATATCCTTAAGTCATGAGAAGAGATTTGTTTTGGCAGTATTGGGGTTTGAGCTCAGGACTTTGTGCTTGCTGGCAGGCACTCCACCACTTGAGCCCCACCCCCAGCTATTTTTGCTTTAGGCATTTTTCATATAGGTCCTCAAGTTTTTGCCCAGGGATGGCCTCAGACAATGATCCTCCTACCTATGGCCTCCCCAGTAACTGGGATCACAGGTGTGTCCACACCTGGACTAGGAAGCGATCTCTTTAAAAATGACATCCTCATAACTAGTGGCAAGTTACCAGACCCTGGACCACTCTAACAACCCAATTAAAAGGCCTGTCCCTTCCTCTGATTTGGGGTAAACTGATCTCTGTCAGTTTGGTTCCTCCCCAAACCTTCCCCACACCCTCTCCCTGCATCTCTCCTTTGCTGAGAAAAAGCCTCCTTAAAACATTTGCTCTATGTCTGTTTTTACTTCTGTCATCACTCAGAGAGCGCTCTCTCATCCCACATCATGGGACCCAGCCCTCTCCGCCTCCTCTCTTGTGCTTCCCCACCACGAGGCCAAGTGGCATTGCTCTGCCATGAGTTCCCATCACAAAAATGTGAACGGGCCCAAAAGCAATGGGGCCAACCACTCATGGACTGGAGGCTGCAAGACTGAGCCGGAATAAATGCTTTCTGTCTAAAGTTGATTGTCTCAGGCAAAGCTAGCAGAGACAGCATGTGGTCATGGAACAGACTTCAAAGGGAACAGAGAACACAAGGAAAATTAGTTCCCCCCCATCTCATGTCCCTTTAGCCATCCTTGGAAGCAGCCACTGTCTCCAGCATCTCTGAAAACGGTACTTTATACAATGTCCTTGTCCTCTGTCCAAATGAGCAGCGTGCCAGATGCTGTGTTCTGCACCTTGGTAATATTACGGATATTTCACATCAGCACATGAAGAATTCTGTTTGAATGCTGTGATTGTCGAATGGGTACACCCTAATGTATTTTATCCTCTCCCTATGGATGGCTATGTGAGCTGCTTCTAATCTTTTCATATTAAAAATAATCCTGTACATATGAAATTGAACAATCCTGTTCATCTATCTTAGGTGGGCATGAGCAGAAGCAAGGAAATGCACTGGGCTACAAAATTCCATTCCCTAAAACTCTTAGATGGCCCCTACCCCAGACCAACGATTATGATAATTATCCTGTATCCTCCTTATGAAGCCCACTCCCACATCAAGGTCATGCATTCACCTGGAGGGTTGTAATGACCACTATATGACCTCCCACTGGCAGAAAGGCAGCGAGAATCAAATGTCCAGGTGCCTGCTCTTCCTCAAAAGTGCAGGCATGTGATTCCCCCCAACCCCAGGCAGCCACTGTGAAGTCTTCAAACCATTTAGGAAGGAAGCACAGGAGGAAGGCTTTACTTTCCCACTGCCAGTAAGCCCACCCTATTGGACAGTAAAACCCCAAGCTCCAACAACTTGGATTCAATCAGCCCTCACCACAACTGTCCACCTCATGTAAGGTGCACCTCCACCTTCTATAAATCATCATTGCTATCTTCCTGCTCTTGGTAGTTCTTCCTAATCTCAGACATGTGTCCAAAGCACTAAAGGACAATCTGGAACACCCCAGTCACTATTAACTGAGTGTCCCTAGACATAACTGGGTCATGGGGGCATGTCTATTATCAATTCATTCAGCTGAATATACATTCAGCTGGAATTTATATTCCAATTTATATTTCTGCCAGCAACATTCCAGAGTCCCTGTTCATCAGGGGCATTTTAAATGACCAAATTGTCTACATTAAAAAAAAAAAAAAGAAAAACAGAAGCTTTCAATATTTTCCTTTGGTGCATAATCTGAGTTTACTTTTGTCGGGACGAAGAGAAAGTTCCCCTCCACCTTCTCAAGGTTTGCTGGAATAAACTGACAAAGTTAAACAGGAGGAAAGGCATATACGAATTTACTCGCGTGCAAAAGGGAAAAATCAGGAGTGTGCGGAGCGGGCTGCTTAGCCTCGTTCATCAACTTCTGTACCCCTTTCTACAGAGGGATTGGGAATAAACGGTCCTTCGGATGGTGCCGCTGGTAAAAAGATCCCTTTGTGAGTTGACTGCACCCCGCAGACAGGTCCTATTACTTGAAGGAAGGACCCCTCAGCCCCCTCCGAGGCAGTGACCTCCGGGACGGGAATGAGGCAGTCGCGTGCCCTGTGCTTTACAGGGGGATCAGCGCACCTTCGCCCGCGCTTGGGCTGAGGAGCAACAATGCTTTTAGGCCTTTTATTTTCTCTAGTTCAAATTACTCTGCTTGCTGAAATTGCGCCGTTTGGGGGTTTGCTTCTGAGCCCCATCACTTTCAAGGTCCTAGGGCGCGTCCCGTGCTGGTGCTCCTCCTGCCATGTGCGCACCGGCGGGCCTTAAGTACCCTTTCTTTTCAACTCTTTTTAAACACGACCCTCCCCTGCGCCGCGATGACTCTCCCAAGCCTGTCACCGTCTTGCCCAACGGATCCCACCTCGACTCCGGTGGGTTCGGTCCGGCTGGGGTCGCTGCGACCAGAAGGCACCCCAGGCCCCGGGCGGCGGGGCACGCGGGCGCGGGAAGTGCATACCCGTCTACCAAGGTGCCCTTGTGGGGGAGGGGCAAAGGCATTGGCCCTCGGCGACATTGGCGGCGCAGGATCCAAGCCAACGGGCTGCGCGCCCCTTGCCTCACAACCCAGGGCAGTCCGTCCCACTCAGGGAAACCTACGCCCGGCAGCAAAGCAATGTCACCTCTGCGCCCCGAGCCAGCGGAGGGCCTAGCAACCGCCAGCCAATCGTCGCCGGGCTCCGGCCGTTTTACGACAGTAAGCCCCGCGCGGTAGCCAATCCGTGCCACCACCTCAAGTCCTGCGCTCTCTGATAGGCCGAGAGTTGAGAGGCCGTAAGGCGTGCCTGAGTGTCGTGAGGCGGGCCCGCGGGGCGAGAGCGCTGTGGGCCGTGGCCGGGTCCGCGGGAGTGTTGTTGTGTTCCGAGGCACTGTGGAAGCGGCAGGACCGCGAGCAGCCTAGTGTCCGGCACCGCCATGGCTGGAGCGCTGGTGCGGAAAGCGGCGGACTATGTTCGGAGCAAGGAATTCCGGGAATACCTCATGAGGTGAGACGTTCCGCCCGCGGGACGCGGGATGCGGGATGCGGGACGCGGGATGCGGGACGCGGGACGCCGGACGCGGGACCCCGGACGCTGGAGGGGCGCCATTGAGGTTGGGGACCAAAGCCGCCCGCGACGAGGACAGCCCTGGGGCACCGTGGGCGCGGATAGCGGGTCCTGTCCCTCGGCCGGGGTGACACAGGGACACTCCTCCCGCCCGAGACGCCGCGCGCCGGGGCTCGGAGCCCGGCGGCAGGTGCGCGAGCGCCCGTCACGCGGCGTGGAAGTGCGCTTGCCGTAATTCTCCACCCCGCGTGCTGCAGACGGCCTGACGTGGCACTCGGGTTTGCATTGTTTCGGGGCATACCTTTCATTTCTCTCCGGGTGTGATTTTAAAGCCTAGAACAGTTTTAAATTTTTCAGTAGTTGATAGTGTGATAAACTGATAAGGACTGAGGAGAAGGAAGTCCTGCTGTGACTGTCCAAAGGGGTATTGCGTGAAGGCAACTTAATTTTAAATTTACTTCCTAAACTCTGACTGTTTATTGCAAATGCTTTTTGCTCCTAATTTTACAAAGCAGCAGGGTAAGAAAACTAGTTCAGTCTGCTGTATGGGAAACTTAAAAACGAAAGCGTCACTCATGACTTTCCGGAAAAGTTTCCGTGCTTGCCTAGGACTATGATTAACTGAGATGTTTAGTGCTCACCGTGGGGCACAGCTATTTGTCGGATTCATGGATGAGAAAGTTTTGAACAAAGTAGTAATCTGAGGACTTGTTTTGCAGTTAGGTTTCTTTACGCCTTTGAATGTGACCTTAGCTCTTTCCTCTCTTCTGTGTGTATAGGGAGCCTTCCTAATAGGTGTGGCTACGGGTGACAGTATGTAATAAAATTGTCCTGATGATTACCTAACAGTTCTGTGTCATAAGAAGAGTTTGTTCAATGTATTTTCAAAGGAGATTTAGCCCTGCTTTTCTTAGTTTATGTTTTCTTTCACTAGATTGGTTTCTGAGAGCCAAGTTTTTCGCTGGAATTCTTTAATAGATTGTTTAACCTTTTTCTTTTAAAATTAACCTCATGTAGCTGTAATGTTATACTTTCTCTAGTGTTTCTTTAACAGAATTACACTTAGGCTAAACAAAGAAAGGAGAGAATTGTGGTGCCCAGAAAGCCAGTAGGGCACCAGACTAGGATTCAGGACGACTTCCTACTCAAGGGAGCCCAAGCAAGTTTTTTGGTTTTTTTTTTTCTTTTTTTCTTTTTCTGGTACTGGTGTTTGAACTCAAGGCTTCACACTTGCTAGGCAGGCACTCTACCACATGAGCCAGTCGCTAAGCCCTTTTTCTGTTGGGTATTTTCAAGATAGAGTCTTGGCACCTGTTTGCCAGGGCTGGCTTCAAGCTGCCATCATTCTGATCTCTGCCTCCTGAGTACCTAGGACTCAGGTTTTATGGGCTTTAAAAATACTTGTAAACTCCAAATCATGACATGTTTTTAATATGCCCTTCTGTTTTTGTGAGTGGAAACATTTTTACAGTTTATTGTTATGGAGAAAGTTAAAATGTGTGAGATGTAAAGCACTATGATTTTGGCCTTGTTTTCTCAGTCGTTCTGGTAACAGCAGGATTTCACAACTGAGCTGCCAAAGAGTGGTTGAGTGCCACTGAGAGGGCAGGTATCAGAACTGATCAGAAGCTCTTAATTTTAGCATTTTTCTCCCCTAAATACAGAAACTTTCTTCCTAGGAGTTACCACAGGAACATACTTCCTTTTGTTCTTCCAAGCTACTGCTGACAGCCCTGCTTTCTTTTATAGCAAAGGAGAATTAAGCATAAAAAAGAAATGTCATTTTGACTGTCTCCCGATCGGAAATAAGGCTCTAGTTCTTTTCCTTTTCACCTCGTTAATAACTTGCACATGCATTGTGTCCACTATCCACAGAAGATCTGAATTGCTTTCACAGCCCTCTAAAGGAGTTTGGAGATTTCTAAAATAAAGTGCTTTTTGGAACTAGAAATATTACTTTAATCGCAAATCATAGTTGACTAGCAACTATTCTGAAAAGTATATTGCCCATATTCTAAACTCTTTCATTCACAGTTTATGAATAAGACTGGAATATGTCTTTTCTTACCAAAGTAGATTCCCAAGTGTTTTTTTAAATATTGGGTGGTTTTTTTCTCACTGAGAGAGTAAGAGAACAGGCTCTGCTTAAACCTGTGAACCACAGGCAATGTGTGGACTTTGACTGCATCTGGTATGAACAAACAACTGCAGGAGGCATTACTGGAACGGCAGATTGTTTAAAGGCGCTCTCATGGTTAATTAGCACTTACAGTTTGTCGATGTGATGATGTAATTGTTAGGCCCAGGTGAGGAGTTTGAGTGATCACCTAACCCTGTTGCTTCCTAGCTTTGTGAGCTTGGGCAAGTTATTTCGCTTTTGTGCTGTAAGTAGCTGTTTAGTGACGGTGCTTGACAAAAGTAAGCAGCTGATTTTTACTATAATTAGTTTTCCATATTTAATCCCCTGAATTTCTGGAACTTTCCTCAGTCTCTTCTTACTTCCGCCCTCACTTGGAGAGGAAGTCTTACTATGTTACCCTAGGTGGTCTGGAATTCCTGGGCTCAAGTGATCTTCCCACCTCAGCCTCTAGAGTTGCTGAGATTACAGGCGTTATACCACCTTACCTGGCTATTGATAAGGATCTTGAATCAGAGCTTTGTGAATTTCTACTTCAGTATCTTTTTTTTCTTCACAGTTCTACTCTTTTTTGTGGTACTGAGGATCAAACCCAGGGCCTCACTCATGCTAGGCAAGCACTTTACTCTTAGCTACATCACCAACCTTCAGTATCCTTTTCTCAAGAGACTGTTCCCTCATGTACTTTACTGATAGAATAAAATAGCTTGTTCTTCTCTTCCTCTCACTCTCCCTCTTGGTTTTTAGGTAGACCGTATAGTTTAAGGGCTGAACCAATCAATATACAGGTTTATTCTCCTCATTTTCAAGTTTGTATGCTAGAGTAGAGGTAAATGTACAAACATACACACACACACAAGTACTTGGTACATGTGCAACAGATGTTTTCTTAAGTAGAATCCAGGTCATACAGTGTTTTAAAATCAGTTAATCACTTAACATGCTCACAAATCTGAGGTCCGTTGGATACTGGCAGTGAAGATTCTCAAGTTAATAAGGTATTTCAAGTTAGTTTTAACTTCTGGGTTTCCAGGAAAGCTTTGAGAATTTATACTTATTTCCCAGGCAAGAATATGCCCCAGACTTTTACAGAATATTACATTTGGAAAAGACCTTAGAAATCAGATGGTCCAGCACCTCACTTGTCACATAAGGAAACTTACACCTAGACCACGCAGAAAACTTGAGAACTTCTGAACAGCAAACTTAGAAAGCTAAGACAGAAATGTCAATGTAGGACTTAAAGGGGATATTAATGCTCAGATAGTTTTGGAAGGAGGTGCAGTTTTAGATACTTTTTGTTCTCTCTGCCATGTTGTTTCCCACACTCTTCCTTTGGACTCTTCCTTGCTATATAATTGACTTTCAGAAAGTGCTGAAGCAGAAGTGGCCATAGAGTCTCTTCATATCTGGATTGTCTTGTTCACAAAGGTCTTTATTGTCGTTTAATGTACTTTTGGCCAGCTAAATACCACTGAATGTTATACACTCTAATGGTTAAACTACAACTAGAAAATTAGATAAACTTTGTTAAGGTGAAATATAGGTGAACATTTTTAGCAAACTATAGAATTGCAATCTAGACTATCTCAAAATCTTATCCCATTCCACTTTATATAGTAGTACAAAATTAGTTGGGCGCCAGTGGCTCATGCCTGTAATCTTAGCTATTCAGGAGGCAGAGATCAGGAGGATTGCGGTTCAGAGGCCACCAAGGGCAAATAGTTTTTGAGATCCTATCTCAAAAATCACAAAAAAGGGCTGGTAGAGTGGCTCAAGGTGAAGGTCCTGAGTTCAAGTCCCAGTACTGCAAAAAACAAACTATTCTAGGCTGTCAGTTACATCCTTTTACTACTATAAAAATATTAAAGTTACTTATAAATGAGTTTGAAGTTACCTAAATTACTCTGTTTTCAAAGAAAACTAACAATTCCTGTCATACTTTTAGGAAAATAAGAAGCTGAGATTGACAGAACTCATCAGACACGAAAATAAAAGTGAGCTTAGAAAAAAACTTGAGCCAGCTAATCACTGTTCCAAATTAAGGAGAAGCACTTGATAAAAGTGGTGGTGCTTACAATATTTTTCAGTGCACACTGAGCAGGAATAGACAAGTTAACTCTCTAAAAATATACATAAATAAATACATGCTAAGGAAGGATGGTGGCGAGAAGCAGCTTTCTGAGTAAGATCAGGAACAAGGCAAATATCCCTTCTCACCACTGCTTTTGCACGCCATACTTGAAGTTGTGGCTAATGCAGTAAGATAAGGAAAAGAAATTGGTGTATAGATTGGGAAGAAAAGAGAAAAACTGTCTTTGTTTGAAGATGGTATGTTTATATAGAAAGTCCAAAAGAATTGACCAAAAACTTCTGGAACTAAAAATGATTATAGCAATGATTAGGATGTAATGTTAATATTTAAAAAGGCAATCACTTTCCTGTATACTTACAACTAATAAATGGAATTTGAAAGTTTAAACACAATACCATTTACCTTAGCACACCCCAAAATGCTGGGTGGAGGGCTGTAATTGTTTTATGTGGGTACAGGGGATTGAATCCAGACCTTGTACATGCCAAACATGCATTCTACCACTGAGTTACATCCCCGACCCTAATTGAAGTAGATTTAGGCATAAATCTAGCAAAATCTAGTAAGAGCTTATGAGAAAAACAACTCTGATGAAAATATGAAAGAAGAATAAAGTAATGAAAAAGATATTTCATGTCCATGTATAGGAATGCTCAATACTGTCAAGATGTCAGTTCTTCACAGCTTGCCCTAGAGATTCAGTGCAATCCCAGTCAAAATCCCAGCAAAGGTCTTTTGTGGGTTTCAACAAATGGATTCCAAAGTTTATATGGAGTTCAATCCCTATCACTATAGGTAAATAGGTAGGTAGGGAGGTAGATAAATAGATAGATATAGACTGACAGACAGACAGATAAGTTTATATGGAAAGACAGAAGACCTGAGATAGCCAATACAGTATTGAAGAAGAAAGAGAACTGATGGTACTGAATGTTAAGTCTTACTGTGAAGCTATAGTAATCAAGCTTGCGCTGTTTGCAGAAGAATAGACAAAAAGATCAGTGGAATAGAGTGGAGAACCCATAAATAGACCCACATAAATATAGTGTACTGAACTTTGGCCAGGGAACAAAGGCAAAACAATGTAACACAGATAGCCTTTTCCAGCAGTGCTGCTGGAATAATTGGACATCCACCTGAAAGGAGGAGGAGGAGGACCATCTGTACATAGACTTTATATTCTTAACAAAAATTTGCTCAAAATTTACATTTATAGGTCTAAATACAAAACTATAAAAATCCTGAAAGATAATAGAAAATCTTTTTAGATTTTTAGATACAACACCCAAGGCACCATCCATGAAAGAAAGAGTGGATTAGTTGAGCTTCATTAAAATTAAGTTTTCAGCTGGATGTGGTGGCACATGCTGGTTATCGCAGTGCTCGAGAGGTGAAGACAGAAGGATTGAGAGGTTAAGTAAGCCAGCCTGGGTTACATGACAAGTCCATGTCTTAAAACCAACAACAGAAAAATTTAATATTCTGCAAAATACAGTATGAAGACTGAAAGGACTGTAATCCAAAGTATACAAAGAACTCAAACTCAACAATAAGGATGTAACGTAATTAAAATAGGGTCCAAAGACCTTAATGCTCACCACACGGATAGCAAGTAAGCCTATGCAAAGACACTACATATCACATGTCATCAGGAAAATCCAAATTAAAATAATGAAGTAGCAACAAACACTGAAATGCAGAACACTGAGAACACCAAATTCTGCAGGGATGTGGAGCCACAGTCTCCTTACTGCTACTTGGGAATGCAAAATGGTGCAGCCACTTTGGAAGATAGCATGGTGGTCTCTTACAGAACTAAATACTTGCTTACCATATAGTCCCGTAGTCACACTCCTTGGTATTTACCCAAAGAAGTTGAAAACTTATCTCCACAAAAGGGTCTGCACATGAATATTTATAGCAACTTTATGCATAATTGCCAAACTTTACTTTGAACAAGATGTTTTTCATGGGTGAATAGATGAGTCGTACATCCAGACAATGGAATATTATTTAGCGCTAGAAGGAAATGAACTGTAAAACCATGAAAAGACAAAGAGGACTTTACGACGTTACTAAGTGAAATAAGGCAGAACACAGGATTTTTAGAACAGCGAAACTATGTGTGACATTGTAATGATGGAGACTGGCATCGTATGTTCATACAAACCCACGGGATGTCTTGTTTCTCTAAGTGAGAGTTCAAGTTCACCATGAATGACTTGATCCAAGAGATCCCTTTGAATTTTTATATTTACTGAAATAAAAGCAGCATATCAAAGAGAAAAATCAAAGATTTTCTACAGGGTTTCACATTACTGCCCCCACATTGCAGTTTGTATGTTGCTTATATATCTGTCTTTGTTGGGAAGAGATGCTTAATACATAACAGGAGAAGGTTTTAAGTTAGCCCTGCATGAATATGCTTTTCAGATTTTTTAAAGCAGGAAAAGAACACACAGAACTTAACTTAGCACAAGCCTAAGGCGAGAGAGTTAGATGCGTCTTGTTAGATTTCTGACTGAGGAGCTGATTCATGTGTTTCCGACAGTGCTGACAGAATTGAGGGATGTTGAGTTGTATAAACTAAACCACCATTAAAGTGATAAATATTGTTCTTGTGATGGTATTCATGTAAGATTTTTTGATTGATGAGAGTATAAAAGTAGAAATTAATTCTAATACCTATAGTCTATACTGAGACCACTGTTGTAAAATAGAGAAGAACAAAACTGTTGTATGATCGATGAGGAGTACTACATTTGAAAATTAAATTATTTCTGTATTAGTCCGTTTTCTTTTGCCATGAAGGAGCAGACATTTATTTAACTTTATAGTTTTGGAGACTGAGAGTCCAAGGTTGGTGGTCCCATCTGTTTGGCCTTTCCTGAAAATCCTCTTAGTTTGGTCACAGCATGGCAGAGAAACAGAAGGGGAACTGGCAGCTCATGGACTGTCATGGCTTTATAATAGTCCCCCTCTCTCAAGAACTCAGTCTGCAATACCAGCATTAATTCCCTCTAAGGAAGGTACCCACAATGACCTCAAACTTGACCCTACCTCTTCACAGTTCCACTACTTCACCATTGCCACACTGAGCACCAAACCTCCAGCACACAAATTTTTGAGAGACAAACCACATCCAAACCATAGCAATCTCCACGTTGAAACTATATTTTAGTACTACAACTTTTAAATACTTTTATAGGAGAAAATGTGCCCTTGTAAGGCCTGTACTCTCATCCCCAAAATAAGGCTGTCTTAAGGAGAGGAGAGCTGTAGGAGACTGTAGCTGAACTATGTTTGGTCTGGTAAGGTGAATTCCTCTCTGCTGTAAAATGCTGAGCTTGATCTGAAATAGAGTTTTGGTGATGTAATTTGTTAGGCAGTCTCTGTGGCTTTTAGGTTTTGTAACGGAGCCTGCTTGCCACCCTCACGGTTAGTTTCAAGTTACAAATAACATTTTCTACTCCCTCTCACTCAGAATGCCCAGGAGAGTGTTCAGACATGCATGCTTTGAGAACGGGTTTTGTGATTTTACTTCAGTAACTCTCAATAGCTAAGCTTTGGGGGTTGGCTTATGGGACAAGTTATGACAGATCTGGCCAAGTTGTCATTTCTGAAATCAAAGTAACTCATTATAAAAGTTTTGGAGTATTTTTAAACAATAGCAAGATTAATATTCAGGAAAACAGTATTGAAAACTTCCGCTATTCCTTCATTTGACAATCAGGCCAGATGCCAGGCCTAATACCTAATACTTGAGGTATTCAGAAGGAACAAAATGCAACAGAAGTAGATGCAGCTCACTGTACGAGAATTCAGCAGCAGGGTGCTTCTCTGCAACTTGTCATCTGCAAAGAAATACCCTTCCAAGGCTGTGCAGTCAGCGGAAAAGCCGCAGGCCAGAGGCTGCTCCTGAGTGTGAAATGTGGCTGGTCCATCTCTGAGGTGTGCAAAGGGTGTAAAATGCACACCACTTTTCTGAGAATGATGACAAAGAATGCAAAATGTCTAATTGATAACTTTATGATGTGTTCAAATGAAAACACTATTGATACACTAGAATAAACTTAATAAAACACATTTATTATTTTTACTTGTCTTAGTGTGACTTGTAGAAATTAAAAAATTATATGTGAAGCTTGTGACACGGTCTCTCCAGGTAACCCAGGCTGGGCCGGGAGCTCTGTCCTTCTGTCTCAACCTCCCAAGTGCTGGAATTATAGCATGTACTACCATGCCCAGCTGCATCTTGTATTTTTGACTTGCATTATATGTCTAGTGGACAGCTCTGCTCTAAAGATGAAGCTTATTTTTCATAGAATTAAGGTTTAATTCTTTAGGTCAAAGTTGTTATTAGTTATTATATATGTACTTGATATCCTCTGGCACCCACAAAAAATCTGTGTTGCTTAACCCTGCAGTCCTGCTTCTAAAACTTGAATCCACATGAAATTGAAGTAATTGTGAAACATTTGATCTCTCTCTCTTTTTTTTTCCCCTACGTCTCCCCGTTCTGAACCTTGGTGATTCCTCACAACATAGCACGGTAAGAAAATCATTTCTGTCCATCCTAAGCTCTTGCAGACTTTCTGCATTAACAGTACAGACAACAGAGACAGGGTCCATTGCTTTGGGCAGCTGTCTAGCCGCTCTGTTACACTGAGCTGTAGGTAAGGTGCTGCTGGCACCTGCCTCTGTGGAGGACCTGCCCAGGATTGCCACTCTCCTGGGTTCAGAAAGGCGTGTGTGATGGCTTCACTGACAGCAGTCACGTCAGAGCCTGGCAGCTGGTGCAGGGGAGAGAGAAACTATTGTCCTATTTAATCCATGGTAGTCTGTGTTAATTTTGTCTTCTCAAATATTAATCATGGAATCCCTTATTTTTCTAGAAATTTACTGATGTATTTCTGGCAGCATAGATCAAACATACATTCTACAAAAAGGGAAGAGAGAATTTGAAATTTGTACTGGATACAAAGTATGCATATGAACTTTCTGAGGTTAGGTATTTTAGTGAACTAGCGTGGAAGTGATTTTCTACTTTTTGTGTTTTTAAGGAATCTATTTAAATGTAGTGCAATGCTGCAGTCATACAGCTATGTAAACATGGCAGGACTTTGTCTCATATCACTAACACTCATTACACTTAACTTTTAGTACCTTCATTTAACCACAAGATTTCCAGGGCTCTTGAAGGTATCAAATCTATGCCATTGTCTGTCACTACTGCAAGAAGGCACATTTATCCTGGTGGTAGATAAACAGGTTGATGAGCCCTCCTTATATACCTCTGCAGGCTTTGGTATAGCCCTCAGAGTCTGTGTGTGATAAAGTAGACATCAAGACCGTCATATAGTACAAAGAAGTGGAAAGAGATTAAACAGAAAAGGATGAAAATGCCACACCATGTGGAGAAAGGAGGAAAAGGAAGAGCACTATGGAACAGTAGAGAGTTGAAAAATTGAGTGACATCCACTGGAAAGACAGGCCGGAAAAGAAGGAAGAAGGTAACCAAGGTCTGTGGAGTAAGAGAAAAAGAAAAGGATCTGGATCTCACTGAAATAAAAGTAGACTATCGTGCTCAGATAATATCCAGTTTGAATACAAGAAGACTAATTAGCCAACCCAGAATGTCAGAGTCCTTAGACCAATCATGCCTGACTCAGAGACATAACTCCTCCTGTGTTACCCCAGAGCTGTGATATAGTTGTTTGAAGCTGGGGCCTCGTGCCTTATTTGAGCATGTTAAGTGAACATTTCAAAGCTTTCTTCCATGCCAGTTGTAGTTCTCATTGACTTCTCTTGCATTTCCCTTGGTTTCCCTCCTCTTAGAAGATCTGTAGGCCTTCAGGACCCTTGGTCATGATAGAATTGCAAGGCCTCTGTATCCCACAGCCTGAGCTCATCTAAAGCACAGCGACAAGTCCACGATGGCCATTTCCACTGCTTAGTGTTCTGATAACAAAGGGCAGTTGGCTAACCATACTGGGTTTCCTTCAGATTTTAAAGTATTACTTGCAAACTATATAAAGAAACAATTTCACTTTAGCCTCAGAAATTAAATTGAACATGGCTTCTATTAAACACAGCTTACTTTTGATAGCCTTGGGTAGGGATAGTTACAGAATGAAAAACTGTTGATCCATTTCTTTAATACAAGTTTTTGCTCTTAATTTAAAAATATTTTCCAATCTTAACTTTTTAGCATCTGGGATCCTGAGTGTAGATTATCAAGTTATCTGGTCTTAGTAAAGTTCATATGAACTCTACTAAATTCCTTCAGAAAAAGTAACCAATTTCACTCTGCATTTTAAGAGTTATTAATAAATTTCTTGAAAAGGTAATGTTGATAGATTTAAATATATTGTGGAGAATAGTTCGGATAAGGTTTAAATTAAGCAAGACTGAATTGTGTAAGAAATTGATCTCATTTTTAAACTCTCTAAGTAGCACAATCAGAGATAACTGAGTAATAATCTGGAAATTGGCAGGAACCATTGTAAATGGCCAGATCCCTGCTTGTGCTGAGCCACCCTGAGAACTGCTGACTCATAAAACCCATTAGCTGTCTGTGACCCACAGCCTGCAAGATGGAACGTGGAGACTCATATTGCTTAAAGCTAGTCATCCTTCCACCCTAATTTTCCCTGTCTTCCTTCTTCTTATTTTTTGTAGCATTTCTGGGGCCCAGTAGCCAACTGGGGTCTCCCCATTGCTGCCATCAATGACATGAAGAAGTCTCCAGAGATTATCAGTGGGCGAATGACGTTCGGTAAGCATGCACACCTGTCAGGTTTGCAGCACCAGATGTCATTGCTGCTTTTAGAAGGTCACATAAAGAATGTGATGGTACTGAGCTGTAGATGTGTCTCAAGTGATAGAGACCTGCCTAGCAAGCAAACCCCAGTATCACAAAAAATAAAATAATTAATTTGAAGTATTTGAAAAATATTAACATACCATTTACCTTTCAGATTTAGTACACTCAGCTAAAGAATATGTCACCTTGATCATTCTAATAGCTAGCCAACTGCTTTGTATTGTAAACTTGATTTGGAAAAGTGTCAAGTTTATTTAAAGACCCCACATTTGGACATAAAACTGATGTTGAAGGATTAAATAGCACTTCTTTTGGATAATGAATTATAAGCAACTCTGGGAGACAAGAACTACTTTCAGCTTATTCTTGCAAACAAAAATGTTTCATTAATAACAACCATGTCCACAGTACAGTAAAATATTCCATTTGTTTGTCATTCTTAGAGGCATAAGCAGAAATGGTTCTTTTTGACTATAGTCCCATTACCCTGAAGTTCTCTAATGTTCATGTTCTTTGCTTTAACATCTCTGCAGCCCTCTGTTGCTATTCTTTGACATTCATGAGATTCGCCTACAAGGTTCAGCCTCGAAACTGGCTTCTGTTTGCTTGCCACGCAACAAATGAAGTAGCCCAGCTCATTCAGGGAGGACGGCTTATCAACTACAAGTGAGCAGATTCTAATTGTTTTGTTATGATGAAGTGGTAAGAATGAAGCTGAAACTTGAGAGCCGGTGGGGAACTGGAGAGTGTGTGAGTGCCAGTGTGAAACCTGACTTATTAAATATGGCAGTGAGCACAAAGCAGGATATTACTGTTTTTATAGTCACAAGTTGAAGTGAATGCTATGCAAAGATGTCTTCTAAAGCAATGCAGAGCCTCTGAGGCTGCCAGTGGAGTTTTGTTTCTCACTGATTTTATGTCTCTTATTTTTTCCAGGATGGCTAAGCAGGCCTCTGCGTAGCTCTTGCAGGGACAGCGCTCAAGTCACTGCTGCAAGTCACAGATCCCCCAGTGTAAATGGTCTCACAAAAGAGAAAGCACAGAATGCTGTTTTTCTTACCGCACGATTTTTACAAAGCTAGCTGGTTGAGTCCCTCAACCAGCTTTCTGCTGCCTTTCCAGTGCTGAATGTGTTACTTCTCTTCAGAGAGTAGCTCAAAGTATGCAACTGATTTAATAACTTCCATTGAGGGTTTTATCTGCAGTAATATGTAGACTGTCCACTGGGATTTGCCTAATATGAACCGAAGAGAGCAAAATTGTGTAACTACTCACATTTCAGTACTTAGAATCCTTGACTTTAATGGCCATAAGATATCCAAAAGCTGACCACGCACCTAAAATTTGACTTCCAGTGTTGAAAAAGGATCTGTTTTTCCATGCAGTGTGTACATTGAGGTGCTGTAACTTCATGGCAATAAATGATTTAAATATTTGTTATATGAGAATGATTAAGTATCTTGCTGTATTTGTTAGGAAATTGGAGAATTGTTTATCTGAAAAGACAATTATAGGTGTAATATAATAGAACTCCTTGGAAACTGTTAAGATGGCTCAAGGAAGTGATAAGCTGGAGGGTGAGTTCTTCTGGAAAGCTCATGGCCCCTCTGTTGAGATGCATGTGCCCTGAGTCACCACCTGTCTTCTCTCTTTGGGCCTCACAGTCATGTGAAACAGGTAAACCTTCTATGGCGGGGGGTTGGGGGAGATGACACTTTATGGGGTGCAGAAGCTGCAAGACACCTGGTGCTTGGAGGGCCAGGGTTGCCAAGCTGTATCTTGAGGCCATGGCCAGACAGACTGAGAATAGTGCCAACCCATGGCTCCCTCAGGCTCATCTTCCATATTTACTTAAGGTAGGCCCACACCTGGTAGATATTAACGGAGCCAGCACTAGGAGACATGATTGTTTCATTAAGTTTATCAATTCCCTCTGCTTTATTTGTTATACAAAGTACACAGACACAAGCAAGTATAACACATGCAACCCGTAGGCTGCCTCTGCCTGGCCAGTCCCTTCAGTTAGCCACTGTGAGGTTTTGTGGCTGTGAATCTTCCTCTTCCTTTCAAAATATTGGGAAAGTTCCCATCCTGCCAGTCTTACGTACTGAGTAAGGAGCACAGGGATTTTGCACACCTCCATCCAGAAGATTCGCCAGGTCCCGAAGGGTGGCCAAGGAAGTGAGCCCAGCTGGGAGCATAGAGCAGCAGACACTGCAGCAAGTGATGTTAGGAAAGGTCCCTGAGAAAACTGAGTCAATAGTTCAGTCCAGTGAAGGTTTCTTCAAAACCAGAAGAGAAAATAAGAGACAAAGGCCAGTCAGGTGACTGCCACAGGCAGAGACTTCTTCCAGTAAGAGCATTCAGTGTGGGAATGTAGGAGGCAGCTGCTCAAGGGCCAGAGGGAGCCACAGCAGGCCTGTGCAGCTTGAAGAAAGTGACAGCCTGGGCTCACAGAGGGTGTCAGGAAGCTCTCCACTGTCATACTTACTGTATAGCTGAGTGCTTCAAAAACACCTGCAAGGATGTAAGATGAGCGGCTGAGGTGGTGGGAAGGGTGGACTTCCTGTTGGGATCTGATTCCTGATTTCCCATAGCACAGACCAGTCATGAGGAGCTGTGTTCCACAGATTTTATAAGAGCCTGGTTAAATTCACCATTATCTACTGTTAGCAACATTGACTCTTAGAACCACTGGGAATTCAGGTTTCAAGCAGTGACTTTACAAGAGCAAGCTGGCCAGTTATTTAGTGCCCTGGATGTTGAGACCAAAGTCTTCCTGGGCAATGCTGACTCCCCAGCCCTGGGAAGTGCCTGCCACTCCTTTATTCCAGGAACTCCTCCAGCTTTGCCGTCTAAACCTGTCCCCAAGGGAGCAGTGTGCATGGCAGTGTTCAGTCTTAAGGACAGGAATCCAGATCCAGATCTGCCTCTTCAGTGTGGCCCATCCACCTTAGCATCTTGGCCTATGTTGTTAGAAAATACCAGGAGCAATGTCAGCACGTTCCTGTAAGAAAGTCGGCCTTAAAGTAATGATGGCTGCAGAACAAAATTGTGTAAACCAACGTCTAGGTGATACAAGACCAGCTTACTTTCAAATTCAAAGCCCAATGACATATATTCCAAATTTTAAATCACCACGTATAATGTTCTCTCAGAATGATTCTAAAAATGTTTTTTGTTTCAAGTAACAACATACACAGCTTGAAGACTCAGATGAGTTCCAAGATGACTTTGGTACGAGTTGTCAGTACTCAAGTGCCAAGCTAGTCTCTGCTTTAGTGGTATTGCATTTCCTTGTTAAACAAACTTGGAGGTGACAATTGGGAAGCCCTTCCTGCAAAACTAAGAATCTCCAACCTACTCCATGTGAGTCCTGGCCCCCATGGGTGGCTCCACTTAGCCAAGTGCACAGCTCGAGCTGCCAGTGGGAGGAAATGGTGACTCAGTGGGCTTTTGTTTTGTAATTCTCTGACAGCAGCTGGCTTAATGTCACATCCCTCAGTTTTCTCAGTCCTCTTCCCACACTCTGTGTAGTCATAACTCTGTTCTGCCACTCTGAACCTCAAGTTGGGCACAATTACTTTTTTTTGTCTTTTTACATTTTTGTCTTGGATTTCTTACTTAGTATGAAGACTTTACAGACAGTAATGATAAACACAGGTTGGTGAAATACCTGAGGACACTGACATTGTGTCCGAGCACTGAGAAGATGTCTGATAGCCTCCAAATAACCACTTGAGTTAAGGTCTAGAAGAAAAGGGAGCACCCAGACCACAGCCTCACAAGCAAACAGCAAACAGCTCTGACAACGGCCCTGGCAGGCTCCTGTCCTTGGGGACTGAGATTGCTGAGGCACGGAGGTCCAGGATGCTGTAGATGTCTATGGAAAGGAGTCCTCAAGGTTAGAGCGGCACAATCTTCCTGGTTTCCCTCTGAGGTACGTTGAGGACTGACCTAAGCCAGTTTGGTACATAGGACACTGGATTTTGCTTTGACTTGTGAAGGTAACAGTGACCACAGAGGGTTGGTGGCTCCTTGCCCACTTCATTGTGAAAGCCAGCTGCAGGTCAAAAGCCACCTTTCTATAGACATGCGTCAGCCAGTGTGTGCAGGCACAAAACCTTACTCTTCTCTGTTTCAGGTGAACTGCAGCTCTTCCAGTCAGGGGCTCCGGGACAACAATCCAGCAGAGGCACAAGTGACAAGGTTCCAGCCACCCCTAGTAATCCCCAGCTGACATAAGAGTTCCGCCAGGTGGGGTGTGGGGGTGGTTATCAGGTGGCCTCTGTCCAGTCGGGGTCTATCCATTAACTATATCCATCCACTTACAATCACGGGTCCCTCTCAACAGTGGATGCAGGCACGGTATGACCGAAGGATCTGGTGCCATGGCTGTACTAGCTATAATAATTATTTTGAATATTTTTTTCTGTTTTAGGCATGGTAATCGAACTGTGAATATTCATAGATTTAATGTGCTGCTACCAACTATGATTATTATGATTATTTTAGGGAGTGTTCAAATGTCATGCTTTTGGCCCCTGGGAGCCCCTTTAGAGATAACCTTTGACACCATCTCATTAAGCGTGAGAGCTTCTGTGTTTTCAGGCACAAGAAGCCTCCTGTTCCCCTGCTCCTTCCTTGCTCCTGGCTTGGAAGAGACCTTCCACCAAGGAGTTCCAGTTAAGAGGAGTGGGGTTCATAGCCACTCATACTGCCAAGGGACACTGCTTCTTCGCCATTTCAGTAGACACCAAATTTAGTTTTTCTTTAAAAAAAGAACTAAGTTCCTGTTGATATTTCCACTTCAATTCTAGTATGGCATTTCTGCTTCATCTCTGGTTTTATAACTGAATCTCTTTCCTCAGACTGAATGAAATAATTTCTGATAAAACAGACATTTCCTGCTTGTTTTACCCTAGAAAAATAGCATCACAATAACAACACCATTTCCCCAGACAGCGAAACTACTGTTTTTTCTTAGTTTTATGCTTAGAACACATCTCCTAAGCATGTGGGTTCCAAGCAAACACTGAATCCACTAAAAGTCGCCCTTTACTCTGCTATGCAGCATCCCCCAGTGCAGAGAGCAGCATGATGGTTTCTTTTCATTTTCACTGTTCTTTTTAGAAAGTAGCACTTTGAGTCCCAGGGTTTGGAGGCCACCGTGCCAGTGATCTTGGTGGTGACTTTAGGTCTGTAAGTGTTTCAAATCTCTATCCTGGTCATTCTACCCCGGTGAGTTCTACTGCTCAGTCGATTCTGCCTTTTACTATTGAATTTCTAGTGCTATGAAACCTAGATATTTTAACTTTTTAAACTTGTCTTGAAAGATTGTCTTGTGAATTTTACCTTGTGCTCTTTTTGAGTTACAGCTTACATCCAACCTTTCTAAACGCCAAATTATGTAATTTCACACCAACGTGTACAGTGTATAAATTCAAATAATTCTCTTTGTTAACTTTCTCTTGACCTTGCATGAGTTTGTGTTTAATTTTCCTATAGGGGATTTTAATTAGGTATAAAGTATTTTAAATGCCATATGAAAAGCAAAGGTGACACATGTAAACCCAAGCCCTTTAGGGTTTTGTCTATAATCCTCTCTTCACTAAGAAGTCAAATTGTTTTGTTTATGTACTTTCTTTTTGTTTCCACTTTTTTTTATTGTTGTGCTGAGGGAACATTCTGACATTTACAGAAGTTCTTACAATATATATTATAATTGAATTCACCCCCTTGTTTATGTACTCTTGAACACAACTAAATACCCTTCAAATGACAATTCTGGAAAAAACTTCCCTGGTCGGTGTGTCCTGGAGTAAGGTTCCATCCCAAGACATAGGAGCAGCTACTGACTCCCCTGGTGACCCTGTGGAGGAGCCTTCCGAAAGTAGCACACACCACACATCAAAACAGTTGCCTTAGGATCAGTCAACACAAGGAACGTGTCTAAACCACAGTGGGCAGCTCACTGTGAAGCACTGTTGTTGGTCAGAGCCTTCTGGAACCCTGCTGGTTGTGTGCCTAACACCATGGATCCTTCTCATGTGCATTTATTGGTACCCAGGCCTATACAACCCAGGAAGGTTTAAGATTGCTTTGGCCCAAATGGGGACATTTCAAAATTCCCAAATTAGTTTATTTGCACACATAATTGGAAAAGGCAGGTTTTAGAACCATGTAAATGAGAGACTTATTTTCAACTGTACTGAGAAGCTTCTAAATACAACTCAGATTAAGACTGCCTCTGTCCAAGCAGTAAGTCAGAAACCAAAGCCTGCCTCTGAGCTGAAATCAGCTATTGCCTCCCTGTGCCCTCAGCAACTCTATGCCTGGTGTAAAGAAGGGTATGCTGAGGGGAAAGAAGGTAGGACAGAGAGGGAGAGGACAAGTGTCAAAGACTTGAGGAAGTTATAAATAAAAGGCTTCTTGTTCATGCAGTGCTGGCGTTCAAAGCCCGGGCCTCAAGTACTCTGTCATGGAAGATTTATCTGTGATTGAGTTGTTGCAATTAGAAGGGCTGGGATGTAGCTCAGTGGTAGAGTGCTTGCCTAGCAAGCAACTAGCTCGCGCCTAGCATGCGCAAGGCCCAGGTTCAATCCCAGCACCAAAAAAAAGAAAAGACGAAGAAGTTTTTCTAGTGTTTAAGTGTTGACATCAAATGCACACCATTTCAAAACTAAAGTTTGATCCCTTGTATTCAAATGTCAGAATTTTCTTGGAGCTTTGATCTGCCCTTTTTTTTTTTGGCAAAACGGGTTTGAACTTAGGGCCTCATACTTGCTAGGCAGGCGCTTTACCACATGAGTCATACCATCAGCCCTTTTTTGTGTTAGGTGTTTCCAGATAGGGTCTCCAGAACCATTTGATTGGGCTGGCCTGGAACTGTGATCCTCCTGATCCCTGCCTCCTCTCTGTAGCTAGGATTACAGCGTGAGCCCCTGGCGCCCAGCCCTTGATCTGCCCTCAATAGGAAACTGTCAGAGGTTTTTCTTTAAAATATTTTGTCAGTTCATCTTGTCTCCCGGTGATCCCATTTGCCATTTTAAGCCTTTGGTATGCTTGACAAACTCCCCAAAATCAAGTTCCAAAATTAAGGTTTTTAGTGTACAACCTTGGGATATCCAGAGGCCACCCAAAGTCCAAATGACACATAATGACTTACATTTGTGTCATTTATATATTACATATTTATATATTATATATATACTAATATATATGTTCCAAAATGATGTGAGATTTCTAGAAATCTGATGTGGTATTAGTCATAATTCTAATGATAACTTATTGTATTCTACAGAAATGACCAAACTCCTTTGTCCACATCTTTAACTATGGCTATTTTAACTTTCATCCACAATTAAGTGGCTGAGTTTCTTTTTGGAAGCTTTTTGCAAGCAATCCTAAAATGTTTCCCTAGGGAGACTCATGGAAAGGGTGAAAATAACTGACAACTGTAGGGCTCCAGTAAGTAAGTGTGGGCTGGGCACAAAGGTGCAGAACTGTAATGAAGAATCACCTAGAAAGCCACTACCCAACAGAAAAAGCAAGAATTAGCATGAGGCCAAACAAACTTGTGAAAAAGAGTTACCTTTTTGGTTTTTTTCTTTTTTTCTGCCTTTTGTTTCTACCTAAACCCATCCCAAAGATGAAATTTGGCAGGACTTTTGCCTCTGGGGAACAAAAAGGCTGCATTCCCTCATCCTTCAGACATTCATTCCAGTTGGACCTGACTTTTACCAGGTTATGACTGATCCTGATGCCTCCTTTCCCCTTACATCCTGCACAGAATCTCGTGTGAACCCTCCTTTTATCTTCCATTCATTCTTGGTGTGAGAAACATGACCCAAACACTCTAGATACTCTGCACTCAGATAAGGGATTAACCCTTCTCAGAAGATACCTGTGAAGAGAGCTGGCATCTGATCAATTCTACCTAATTGTGCTAGTCAGTGTGCTGTTGCTGGGACTATATGCCTGAGGTAATCAACTTAAAAGTAGGACTCACAGTTTCTGAGGTTCCAGCCCATAGTTATTTGGCTGTTGTTTCTGGACCTGTGGCAAGACAGAACATCCACCCATGTGAGGGGTGGAAAAAAGCCTCTAACTTTGTAGTGGCCAGGAGGCATAGGAAAAAAGAGACTGGGGTCCTAATACCCACTAACAGGGCACTCCTCTATGACCTAACTCCCTCCAGCTAGACCCCACCCCATAAAGTTCCTACCACTTTCCCAATAGTGCCACCAGCTGGGGGCCAAGCCTCCCAGCACATGAGCTTTTGGTAGGGGGCATTTAAGATCCAAATCATAATGCTCCCTTAAAGCCTTAAAAATTACTCCTGTATTTTTTATTCTTGCTCTCTCATTCTGTCTTTCAAGGACTTTAAGTTCATCTCAGGTAGTCAGAGCATTGACCTCACTTTCTGGTACCAGTTTTCTCTTCACTGTGACAGAATACCTGACAGAAACAACTTAAGGGAGGAAGGGTTTATTTTGGCTCATGGTTGCAGAGCCATTAGCTTATGGTCACTTGGCTCCAAATTTCTAAGCCAGTTGTGAGGCAGAACACTATGGCAGGAGGAGTTTGTGTAGGAGGCTGTTCAACTCATGGTAGACAGGAAGCAGAGAGAGGGGAAGGAACTGGGGACCTTCAAAGGCACTTCCCCACTGACCTACTTCCTCCAAACAGCCTACCTGGCCACCTCCTAAAGTTCCCAGAACCTCACAAGGTAGTGGCACAGCTGGGGTCCAACTATTCAACATACAAGTCTGTGAGAGATATTTCACATTTAAACCATAGCAGTTGGCTACCTTTAGGACTGGTCAGAATTTCAAATGTCTTTTTGCTGGTTATTTTTGCCTGTTCTGTTTTTGCGTTATTTAAATTGCTTATCTCTTCTGTATCTTAATATCTCACAACTAAAACCAAATCATGGTAACCTACTGCATAGGAACTATACTCACTAAGCCAGGACTCCACTGGATTTCTTGTTGACCTGAGAGACTACAAATCATTCCTGACCTGCCTGTGGCCCTGGTTTTTCAATTGTTTTTCCTTATCCCCAAATTTGCTCCATCATCACAGCTGCCAAGTACACCCCCCACTGAGTGCTGGGGGACCTATCCCAGCACCAGGACATTTCTGGAATGGCAGAAGTTGTCACAGAGTGTGTCCACATAGTGCTTCATTTGTGTGGGTTTAGCCCAAGGCTCAGTGCATGGCACATTTGCATTTTGCCTTTTGGAAATTTTTTAAATATATTTTTGACTGGCAATTGGTGAATCCATGCACAGAGAGCTCATTCTATGTATTTTGTTTTTCATTGGTCAAATTGGCAAAAATTGAAAAGCCCAACAATGCTTCCCATTGATAAAGCTATGGGCAAACACACACACACATTCCTGGTGAGAATGCAAAGTTATGTAACCCTCCTAAAGGAGAATTTAGCAATACTTTGCAAAATTATATATGCATACACTTTTGACTTGGCAATCCTACCTCTGGAAATTTAACCTGAAGATGCACCTCCGAGCCAGGCAATCCCTGAAATTCCCCCACCAGCATTCATACTCTTGTGTAGTCCCCTCCCCTTGAGTGGCTGCTGGACCATGGCACACCTCCAGTGAGTGATATGGTGAGGGTGATGGGATGTTATTTCTGAGATTAGGTTGCAGAAACAGTGGCTTGTATCTTACTCAACTTCCCTTGCTTTATCTTGCTTGCTCATTCTTATGGAAGCCAGCTGCCAAGCTATCAGCCACCCTGTGGACAACCAAGGACCTGCATCCTGCTAACAACCATGTGAATGAGCTTAGAAGCAGATCCTCTTTCAGCTGAACATCGGCTGACACTGTGACTGCAATGGGAGACACTGAGCCAGACAGCCAACTCAGCTATGTGTGAACTCCTGACCTACAGAGCTCTGACAGTGTAGATCCCTGTTGCTTAAACTTAAGGTTGGAGGTAATTTGTTACACGGTAACATGGGCACATGTGTGTTCACACACACACACATTAGATTATTCACGCACCATTGTCATTGAACAGTACTAGAAGCAACCTAAGTAGTCATTGAGAAAACTGTGAAGCACAATGTTGTATTATGCAACTGTAAAAAAGCATGGGGTTGGTGATGTAGCTCAGTGACAAGGGATTGCCTAGCACATGTAAGGCCTTGGGTTCATTCCCTAGAAAGATCTCTAGGAATGACATATTCAAGACTGATTTCCAGAATATATTACTAGGTGAAAAGACCAAGTACTACGTACCTACAGTATACTATCCTTCATGCAAGATAGTATGGAGATGGAGGAAAGTATACATGTATATGCTTTTTCATGAAAAGAAATGCAGGAGTATAAATCAGAAATTACTTAGTTCCTATAGGAGATGAGCTGGGAGTGGGGTTGAAAGAATAAGAGGGAGGGATGAGGAAGAGACGAGAAAAGTGCTCCTCCGAGTATATCTTCTGGTAGTGTTCTAATCCTTAGAATAATGCTTTGCTATACTCTCCTGAAAAGAAATACTTAAAGTCAGCTGAGGTATGGGGGGGATTCCACAACGGAATGCAAGCACTGAGTTATGAGTCAAGAGAAGGGGAAGAAAATAGCCAAGCTGTGTAAGTTTGGGAAAGAGAATTTTGACTGCACACTGCAAGGTGAGGAGAGGTCTGTGCAGAGACTTTACTCTCACTGGGAGTTGTGTTCCCACACGAGTATGCATAAGAAATTCCAAAACTTGTGGCATTTAATTTAGGATTCAGCAAGTGAATAAATATGCTATGGGTGTGAGAATCAAGTTTCTAATTGCCAGAAGAAGGCATTACAAATAAGGGGAGGAGTGGATGGCAGGGATCAGTGTGAACTCATGAACAACATATATTCATTACTAATATATGGACCTTCCTATGTGTCTTGATGTGTTTCTATATCATTATGAGTTATATGCCACGTAGAACAGTATAAACCATGAGTTATATGTAAGATAGATGAAGGACACATAGAGATGACTATATGCAAGCCCATGTACACACATGCATGCATATCCCCCCAGCTCTATCTGCTTGGGAGCCTAGAAGTAAGAATGCCATCCCAGAAGCAATGAGCACCTAGCACCCAGCCTGTGGTTTCAAAACATGAGTTTGCAACAAAGGGTGACCAGAGCACCCTGGAGAATGAATGGCCCCATGCTGGGATAGAACATGAGCTTGGAGTATCTTTTGGTGCCAGAAATTCAGGGGGTGCTCAGAAGATGAGTTGGCCATGGCAAGAGAACAGTAGAGTCAGCTTGAAGAGGCTCTGGTGTGGCTTGGCTCTGAAATGTCCCCCAAAGATCACGTGTTAAAGGCTTGGCTACCAGCCACTGGCACTGGTGGGAGGTGGTGTAACCTTTAGGAGTTGGGGCCTAGTGAAATGAAGTGAGGTCATAGGGTGCATGCCTTGAAGGAGATACGTGCACC